CTTCTTGCTTCTTGTATAATACCGAGTTTGAAATCAATTTGATTTTCAGTAGCAGCCGCAGTTTATTATCACTGAAGTGCTTCAACAAATTTTTTTTTATTGTTGTTGTTGTTATATTTGCTTAGATTTCTTCAATTTTCACCTTTTTTTTTTCACCCGCTTAACTAACACATATACAAAAAAAAAAAAAGTCAGATGGAAAAAAAACACAGAAATAGAGTGGTAACAAAATTACGTTATACATTGATGTTAAATTGATTTTTGATGAGACTCTGTCATTGCACAAACAAATCAATTGTGTAAAGAAAAAAAAAAGCCGTTTTATAAACGTAAATGATAACAGAAAAATTGAAAAAAAAAAAAAATCCGATAAACTAAAATTTATAAGAAGATAAAGAATGGAAACAATTGGAAAGCGCTGAGAGGAAATAGAAGATTGAATTAATGCTCAAAAGATGCATTAATAATTAATTAACTTAATTGTACTAAAAAAAAATTTCAAAAAAAAAACAACAGTTTTTTTTTTTTTGTGGTCCTTGTGGTCATTAGAACTTTGTTGTTAGTCGTCGTCGTTAATCAACCATAAAAGTGCTGTTGTTTAGTCGTTATATGCTCGCTTTGTTTTTCAGGTGTACCTAGCATAATCGCAAGACTAAAGGTATGGATGTGATAGACTTTAATGATGGTTACTGCATTTGGCAGAGGAGTATAAGGCAATTGAAGCGGTGGAGTAAACAACAAAGTTTAAATCATTCCAACGCAAAACGTTTCAAACTTTTAAATAGTTTTTTAAATTTACAACAACAAAATTGGCAGCTGAATTGTAAAAAGAATTTTTTTTTAACTTAAAAATTATTTTCGATTAGAACGCGAGTGGAAAATAACAAAAAAAAAAAAAAGAAAAAAAATGAAAAAAAACTCTTTACCATACCCCAATATCGACTTTAAAATTAATGCTTATGTTAAAAAACTGAAACAACGGCAGCATCAAATAATAAATTGATGGTTAACCACGTAGTTTCTAGCGTCTTCCTCTTGATGGGAATTCATCAGCAATGAAAGGATACAAATACAGAAGGATTTTTTTGTTTTAAGAATCTGAAAACATTCACACAAAAGATTCATTGGAAATGCTTTGTCTCACAAAATTCTCAATAAGTAACAACTGTATATCGACGGCAAAAACATCTGCTAAATACTGACTTTTTATCTTACTACCAACCAATCCCGACATGTTGACCTCGGAATGGATCACTGAACTTCATCCTTTGGTATTTACGTCTTTATCCAGGATACGAAAGCTCCAATCGTTGCTTTTGTTTTATAGAAAAGGAGCATAGTGAGTTTGAAGATTGAATGAAATAGTGACAATCATAGTACAACTTCTTTTGTCTTTTTTTTTCTTAAAATATCAACGAACTTTGCTTTCTTTTTAGTCTTTTTCCCCTTCTTTATTTGCTCTATTCTAGCTAAATTCTGCGTTTATTGTCTTCTCCACTTTTTTGTTTTAAAAGCACAGAAAAAGGACATCCATTTTTTGGTTTTTCTGTTTTGCTTTTCCGTGTTTTGTTGCAAATAAAAATAAAAATTGGAAAGAAAAAAGAAATAGTGGAAAATGGAATAAGAATTTTATTGATTTGCATTTGTGTTTTATATTAAATAAAACAATTTTATTATTTTGAAGACTCCCCATTATTTATTCTTATTTTTTTTCTTGTTGCTGTTGTTTCACCAGGTTCTGAGTTCTTTTTGATTTTAGACAGACTTGCAGGTGCTTTACGGGCACCAAAATGGTGATGATGGTGATGGTGGCAGCGATGGTAGTGACGAGGGATTGTTCCTACAATCTATCGTGCAAAGGTTGCTTACCGATGCATGCGAGCTACTCGACTGCCATCATCAGTATTACCGTCAGATAGATGAGGTTTTTTTATCCATCCACCTCGTCATCATCATCTTCGCCATCGTCACCGACATTTTTATGTTGCATATTTACTTGATTTCTTCAAATTTGCTTTTTGTTTATTTATTTGGTTTTGTTTGGTTTGCTTTTTTTTTCGTTTCCTCACTTTTCCACGTAGGGTTTTGATTGCAAAGAAAACAAAAAACCCAAAAGAGAAAGTGTAGAGAAAAGAATCTGTCCTTCTCTTCTTGAGGCCTTTAATGCGGTTAGCGAGAGCAGAAGACTTTTCAAAATGGGTTGGTTGTTTGTCAGTTCATCGATCACTTTTAATAACGCCATCTGATGTGAAGTTATGTCACAGATGTCAATATTTCCTCAGAAATTTGTAAAACAACTGATAAGCACTGACGAATAACGTCACCCCGTAAAGGATTGATGAATCCGGCTTGCAGTATATTCCATTCATTATTCTTTGCCTGTGTTAACTATCACCCAAACTTTTTTTGCATCTTTCAAACATCTCTTCTCTTGCTCAGCTCCTGCCTTGTCCTATAACAAGATCGGAAACTAAGGGAAGTGGGTGAGAGAAGAAAAGCAAGCATATGAGGAGAAAGCTGCAATTTGCTTGCTGACGAACAGAGAAGGGAAGAAGATGATTATTTGGGGTAGTAGCGACGGCAGCAATAACAGCAACTGAATTAAGAGAATAAGGAAAGCAGTAATAATAAGAACGATGACGGTGGCGACGACGGGAAGGAAGGATGGAGGGGAGTTGATTGTTCACAATTGAAGATTATTTTTCAGTTCTGTTATTCACTAGCTTCACTTTTTCTCAGAACTCTTAACAGTGATGTGGGTGTAATTGATTTGTCTTATTTGCTTGTACTAAAAGTCTGGTTTTGGAGAGTTGAAAATCAACATGTTGACTTCTTCACCCTGGTTTACCGTACTGACAGGCTGATTGACTGGTTGTCTTCGTTGACACGGCTAAGTGCTGCAAAATATTACTTAATTTAAGGTGTACCAATCCAGATTTTTTTGCAGGAGATCTGCCTCGTCTGTTAGCTGTTTCACTAAACAGTTGCTTTTGCTATTAAATATTGCTTATTTCGCTGTTTGAGCATAAAGCACAGATAATGAAGCGTAAAACAAATTCTTTACTTGTTTCCTTATGTTCTTTTTGTCTTTCATAGTTGTTCGATTTTTTTTTTTCATTTTGCTTTTTGACGTATTTTTCAGAACATCTAAAATAGTATACAATTTATTTATTAATTATAAATATGTGCATTTTATATTGCTGTTTCTTCTTCAGTGTTGGTTACCAAGAAATATTCTTTCAAATCTGTTGTTCCTAGGATTTCTCGCTAAAGCAAAAAATTTGGGTTGTAAAACAGAGTAAGAGCAAAAGGGCGGAAAAGGGAAGAGATAGATCTGTGTGTTCTTTTCAAAGTTGTCAAGTAAATAAGGCGAAGAAGAAAATAGTGGTGATGGGGATGACGATGATTATAACGATGACACAGAGATTCTGTTTTGGGCGTTTAATTTAGACAACTTGTAAGCTTGTAAACTGCTACATCTAAATCTGAAAAATAATTTATGGGGGGCTAATGGTCGAATGAGTGAATGATTGACTGGATGAATGAGTGAACGCAAAAATTCAGATGGATAAATAGATAACTGGATAGATGAGGTGACTGGTTGGATGGATGAATATTTGTTGAATAATAACTTTTGGTGTTTTTTTTTGTCGAGTTTATCGCCATTATCATTCTCATATTTGTTAAATGACTGTCAAGTAAAATTTTTTTTTGCTTATATTTTTTGCATTTTTATAGAGTTTCTTGAAAATCTTATCTGTTTTTCTCCAAAGTTTTTACAAAAATTATTATATTAGCAACAATTAGTAGACAACTGTTATTTTAAACTATCACGGAGACGTATGTATGTATATGCGCACAGCAAAAAATCATGTGCATTTGAAGCGGCGTTGATGGTTTTAATGGGAACTGGTTAAACGAAGATGTCAGTAATCGGTATATAGTAGTTTTTTTTCATCATTATTTGTTCCATGAATTGTGAACATTAATTCAACTGTCAATTCATTTCTTTTGTTTAACGTTTGACTGATTTGTGCTGCTCTGTAAAGCTGTCTTTGGTAACCCTTCAACATGGATTTATTGTTCACTGCAGCGGTACTTCTAATCCACCAAAGTTAATCACAGCAACAGGAATCTCAGTAAAGTTCTAGCTTAATCTACCAGCTTGGCTAGGCTCTAGATTGCTGTTGCTGTTATTTGGTTGTCTTAATTGTCAGCTGCACATCCTCCTTATTTAATTCAAATTGTCAGACCATAAATTAGATAAAGACAAAAGTAAAAATGGAGTTAAAAGCTGTGTGTTCAACTGATATTTTTGATTTCAAGTTTTTTTTCCTGTTATATGTAAATATTCTTTGTATATCTTTCCCTTTCTCTCACTTTTTTGTTGCCTTTTTCCTTTCTGTTTCAAACGGATAGTTTTTACTCTGATATAACTCTAAATATGTAATACGTTGAAAATGTGAAAAAAATCGTCGCTGTTGTTGTTTCACTTATTACTACCTTTTTGTTTTTTCTTCGTTTTACAGACATATTACTTACTTCTAAAAATATTTCACTTTTTTTTCTGTTTTTTTTTCTACTGTTTTATTTCTGCAATTTTTAGCAAACTTTTCAAAAACAATTAGCTTTTATTTTGTTCTGTCTCTTCGTCACTTTTTTTTACTTTCTGTCTTAATTTATCGTCATTAGCATTTTTTGTTCGCTATTTTTCTTTTTGCTTTTGGTCATTTCTGCTAAGTTTTAGCAACATTGTCAACAAGACAGCAACAGCAGCAGAGGAAGACGAAGAAGAAATTGAAACAGAAGCAGTAAAGAATTCAGTAATATAATTTTGTTGTGTTAAAAGAAAAAAAAAACTTTTGGGCATGAAAAGGGAAGAAAGAACAGAAAAAGAGGCTGAAATTGTTGAGTGGAGCTGAATATTACTGCAAAGGTCTTATATCATCAAAAACATTCTTCCTGCACTTGGTTTTGATCACAAAACTATATACTTACAACAAAAAAAAAAAAAAGCAGGAATTTTTACGACTAATTTGTTTGACCATTTGAAGCGGATTTGCAGCGTCAATAAAAAGCAGGTACTCATTTTGTGGCTAATGTATATTGACAGATACACTGAAGGATGAAAATTAGGGAGAGAAGAAGAAGATGCTGATAAAGGAGACGATGGTGATTAAATCGTAGAGACTGAAGAAGGAACTGTAGGAGAACGGAATGCAAAAAGGTAATTTAGCAGAAGGACGTGAAATGGATTGGTCTGTATCATCGTTGATGTTAAGGGTGGTTGTAGTTAAAACTGGAAGTAGTATCTACCTGGAACAGAAAGCTGGATGTTTATCTGTATAAGTGTACAAATCAATAGGCTTAGTGATTGTTAAAGATTCTGCTGTATTCTTTCTCTTAAGCCTTCTTTTTTGCTTTTTTACTCCCATTATAGTTTTTGTTGCCCGATTTATTGTATTTATGACGGACAAAAAATAAGTGGAAAATTCTATTGCTTAATAAATAGATAATAATTGTAAGTGGAAAGAAAATAGTGGATATTTTTTGCTTTTTTTAAGTCCTAGAAATGTCTTTTTTCACTTCTCGTTTTTTCTTTCTCTTCTTATTTGCTGTAAAAGTAGAGCAACGATAGAAAGAAGAAAAAGAGGAGAGAAAGAGGGGGAAAACAGGCGTGAAAAGGTGGGAAAAAGCGTAAGCAAAAAAAAAGAAAGTAGATAAATAAATAAATAATGAAGGGGAGAAAAAATGTGTTAAAGATTTTGCTTTTCGTTCTTATGTCATAATCTACTACCGATAATGTGCTTCAATAATGTGCCAGTTGAATTTTGGTCGATCAAAACCATAACCATGTGCTACTCGGCCACTGATACTGCTGCTGTTGCCCCTACCACAGGTGGCACCACTGATCGGAAGGAAACAACAACAGCGGCAGAACTATTCAAAAAAGATCTTTTTTCTTTGAATAATAGCTAAAGAAATTTAAGACGAGAACAAAAAGGGAGACTGAGATGAAGGAAAAAATATAAACAAATACATCTGATAAGAGTTTTTAGTTCAAAACATGTTTAATACTGTTAGTTCAATTGCTTATGCCTAATTTTTCACCGCTGAAGAAGCTAAAAAACTGCAGTAATCCGTATTCATTGGATGAATGCGAGTGTATTCTGATTTTCTCAGTGTCCGATGAAACTATCAGTGAAAAGCGTTGGCGCTAGAATAGGTTTTTTGGTAGACATATATGTTTATTTTTTCGTATTAATTACTATATATATCTATTTATTTAATTACGTTTATATTAAGATTCATACGCAGAGATAGTAGTCGAAAAAAAAAATTGAGTGTTCTTCGGTAATAGACAGTTGTAGGCTAAAGGCATATTGTTAGACAGCTTAGTCGTTCAGTATAGCTGCTGCAATCAAGAGTAGTAGTTAGCCTGACTGAGAATCTAGTACTTAACCGGATAAGCAGAAAAATATTGGTGTGGTTAACTTCAGCTTCACTAAATTTTGAATTTTATGCGTTTAGCCTATAGCTTAGTGCGTTATTCACCAAGAGTTAAGTGTCAGTGTTCAAGGAGAGGGGATTTAAAGGCACTTGACTGTTCAGATTTGTAATCGTTATTAAACACAGCAGCAATAGCAGTAAAATTTTTTTAAATGAATGGTCAGTCAGCTGTTAGTAAAAAGATAAGAAAAAAAAGTAGCTAAGGGAAAAAAACAGACAGTTTTTTTTTTTTAGTTAAGTTTATTTGTTTATTTATTTATTTGTTCTTTTTTCTGGTAACACCAACAGTGTCACTGTCGTCACTTTCAGTTAGTTTAATTTTGAAGGTTAATTTTTGAAGCTTATTTCTAAGTTAATCGTTTTTCTTTCTGTTGTTTTTTTTTGGCTTAGTTTTATTATATATGTCTTCTTCCTTTTCCTCCTCTTTTAACCTTTAATAAGCACAACACTTTTAGAAATATCACAGTTATATTTTCAAACTGTTTTTTAATAGTAGTAAAAGATTTTAAGCCAAGAAAAAGAGGAATTTCTCTTTCTAGATTTATTTAATTTTATCATTAATATTGGTTTTATTTGATTTGATTAAAATATTCGATGACATATCAGAAATGCCGCCAGATAAGATTCAAAAAAAAAAAAAAAAAGGAAAAGAAAGGTTTACTGACTCATTCATTCACTCAATCATTTATTCACTCACTCAGTTATTTACACGTGAAAATTGTGGTTAAATGAACTTCTTTTTTGCAGTTTTATGCTTTCAGTTGATTGATGCTAACAAACAGCACAGAAGAAGAAGAAAGCAAAAAAGACTTTCAATTTTCCCAAGTTTTTTTTTTTCAAAACAAATATTCAAACTTTTTTTCATAAACATTTTTAGTGTAACACATTGTTGTTGGTAGTAGTTTTTTTTTACCACTTATCTGTATCCTTTTACTTTTCCGACATTCTTTTATGCCTAACAGCTATCTGGCAACCTTATTATCGTTATGAATTCCATTTGCTACTTCTCCCCAGTTTGTTTTATCTACTTTTTTTCTTTCATTTTCAATTTCTTTCGTAAACTCTGTAACTTTCTAAGTTTTGAAAATGTTCTTTGAAGTAATTTTTGTGTTTTGAAGTTCAAGAAAAAATGAGAAGATTTTAATAAAATAGTCAGTGATTGGAGTCGAGTAGAGGAATGGGGAGGAGAGAGGTTAAAAAAAAGAGGAATAAATTTGGAGAAGAAATGTATGTGCATCTGTGTTGTAACGTTTCTTCTGTTTTGTCGTAAATTAAAGTCAAAAACATCTGAAACTATTTGGATTTTAGTTCTATATGTTTTTTTTTTTTTTTTTTT